TAAGAAAAATTTAAAAAATTAATAAATATATTTTTACTTATTTAAGAAAAATTTAAAAAATTAATAAATATTTTTTTACTTATTTAAGAAAAATTTAAAAAATTAATAAAAGTCTAACACATATTTTTATATTTAATAAAATTAATAAAAGTCTAACACATATTTTTATATTTAATAAAATTTCCAACACAACTATTAATCTTGTTAATTAATTACTTGTCCATATTTAATTTCAATATGTATTAAATTAAAATAAAACTATATTATATTTATCCCCTTTTAATGTTAGTTGATTTTTAACACTCGTTTCACTGTAAAATAAAGATCAAAGGATTTATGCAAGCTTGTGTTTTTAAACCATCCTCGTATATAAAACATTTATTTTTATTATTTCTAAGAAAAATTGTATTGTTTGTAAAAAAAAAAAAAACTTGAGCCATTTGAGCAATAATTTGTAAATAATTTTTTTTTAACAGAAATGATAAATATTTATATATTTAAAATCATTATTAAATAGATTGCTCTTCATATCTCTAAAATGTATATAAAATTTAAAATTTATATTACTATTTTTAGCTAACTTTGCATAATTAATCACACGGTGTTTTCTCCTAAATGATAAATAATATTACAATTATAAATATTTATTTAGTATTAAATGGTAACTCACTGAAACTCGGGGAAATTTTTAATATTATTATTTATTTTATTTTTAATATTTTTAATATTTTTTTTTATTTAAAAATAATAAATATATCGTGTGGGGGAGGATATGGGTGGAAATTTTTTGATGTAAATAATTCAAAATTTAATTAGTCAAAAATTTAATGAATTCCAAATTTTTTTTAGGTAAAAATTTTCACAATTCTTTAATTTTACATTAAAAATTGAGGTGTGTGCTATATTGAATGCTATTAAGTTAGGACTATAATTTATTTTTTGTGAAAATTTTCACAATTCTATAATTTTACATTAAAAATATAGTATATTTAAAAATTTTAAAAAGGCGTATGCTATATTGGATGCTACTAAGTTAGGACTATTAAATCAAATACTAAATTAATAAGCAATTTATTTGAATATACATAATATATAAACTGATAATAGATAATATATAATTTTAAGTAAAAACAACTGTATAAATTTATATCATTTAAAAATTTAATTAATTTACTTAAATTTGCCATATTTTTAATATACGAAAATAATAATCACATATATATAAATGAGAGGAAGATTTCCTTCCAGTTCTGGGGATGCTAGCCTTAAGATCCTTCCATAAACGCTCAATACCTTGAGTATGGGATGATATATCATTTGGGTCTATAAATTTTCTGCTGCTATTGATCAAGTAATGATCAAATCTATTTTCATTAAAATTGTTATAACTAGAAAAAATGTTAAATTTTAAGATAAAAAAATTCTTATCCAGAGGATCACATATTTATTATTTTTTTAATATAAAAATTTTTTGAAAAATAATATCAAAAATTTCCCCGAGTTTCAGTGACTTACCGTATTAAATTTACTACTCTTATGTTTTTTACAATGTTGCATGTTCAAGTATTTAATGCTATCCAAAAATTGGTATATTTATTTTGAAGACATGACAAACAATTAAAGATTTTATAGTTTTATTTTGAGATTTTATTCTAAAATAGACTTAAAATTATAAATCTTATCATCGTGTTGACTATCTAAAACACTAAGACCTCTGTCTATCTCTTCTTCAAGTTTACATAAAGTTAATGTTTTTCTATTGAAACATATAAATATTTCTTATTTCTGATTTTAAAAAATTCCAAATTTTTGTTCAAATATTTATTTTTTTTAAAAAAAAAAATAAGAAATATGGTTTTATAAACTTTTTTTATAAAAGTAAATATAATATATAGATATATATATGTTAGCGTCCATGTGTTTTTTCCGGCAATGTGTTATTTTTACAACTTTAAATTATTTTTGAGCTCGTTTTAATAAATTTAAAATTCGGATTTTACCGGAAGTACCTATCTTATGAATTGTAAACAATTTTGCTCATAACCTTTGAGTCATTTATAATTTTTATAAAAAATCTATGGAAAAACAAATATAAATTATATTAGGTTCAAAATTTCGTGGCAAAATTGTCTGACATTTATAGGGTAGGTATTCCAAATATGATAGAATACATTTCCGGTAAAATCAGATTTTAAAATCTAAAAAATGAACCTCAAAAATATTATTTAAAGTTGAAAAAATAACACATTGCCGGAAAAACGCATTGAAGCTAACATATGTATCATTTAAAATGTATATTATTGAATGGTGTTTTCAGATATATAACTCATTTCTGATATAAAAAAAAAATTAATTCCAAATGATTGCTCAAAATATTTGTTTTTAATGGTCTTATAAGTTTTTTTCCTAAACTAAATATAATATATCTATATATACATCATTAACATGCAATTTGAATGATGATTTCAAATATATAAATCAGAGACCTGCAGGCCTGGCCCTAAGCCCGGCCTGGGTTATGGGCAGGGCTGTATTTTAATTTTTTTTAAATAAACCCCGGACGGTCCTAAATTTTCGAAATCGCCATTATTAGTTTTAAAAATTAAAAATAAATATAATTATATTTAAAAAAATTCCGACCTGAAAAATTTTATTTTTTAAGAACAAGCCGGGCCAGACCTGAAAGTATTAAACCCGTGGGGTCTGGCCGAAAAGAAATTTTGAAAAAAAAAATGGGCTGGGTCGTGCAAATGGTACCTCTGCCGGGTCTCTCTGATATAAATATTTTTCATTTCTGATAAAAAAAATTAATTAATTACAAATTATTACTCAAATGGCTCAAGTTTTTTTTTACAAACAATACAATTTTTTTTAAATAATACTTTGTTTTTATGCGAGATGGTTTAAAATTCGCTCCTCGCATTAATAAAAATGATCATTAAAATAGTTTTATGCGTTTTTAAATTCTCCGGGTTCGGGTTCACAATTTATTTTTTTCTATTCCTAACCCCGGCCCGAATTTTTTGTATTATATTATTTTTAAGGCATACTTAGGTGTTACATGCCCTTGTTGGATATTAAATTAATATATAAGTAACTTAAACTGTTTCCTATAATGGGAATAAAGACTTTGTTAAAGATATCCCTGCCTAAACATTTCAAAAAATGACAAAAGTAATTTTAAAAAATTAAGTTTGGAAATATGAAATTGGAACTTGATTGGGACTCAAAATTTTGGTAAAATTAATGAGGTGCCGAAATTATCAAGAGCCAAAATTATCAAAGTTTTGATCATATAAATTTTATAAGATTATTGTTAAGCAACACTATGTCGGTAGATAATTACAAACTGAAATGATATTTAAAATTTGGCTAAAATAAAATAAATCTACATAGATTCTAATGCTCCAATGACCAATGTAGGATATTGTGGTTAGTATATCGATATAGGAGAAGGCCTGATTTTAGCTTGAGTTTTGCTTTAAAAATATAAGCTTAGATTTCATAATTTTTCTAATTTGTTTTAAGTTATATAATCTCATCTGCTTGATTTCTATACAACACGTATATATATATATATATATATATAGGGTTGTATATACTTCAAAATAAATAACAAAACTAATAAATATATAAAATATTATCTTTAGCGTGTGACTATTTACCGACACCTTCCCTTCCTTAACAATAGCCTAAAATATGTCTTTGATTTGACATAAAATATACAAAATATAAATTATATTTTTAATTAAAGAGTATTTTGAAGAAGAAGAATGTATAAATTGAAAAAAATATTTTTTTTTACTATATGGATGGATGTTTGATAGGTAAGTAAGATCCTCAGCCCAAAGAATATTTATTATAAAATAAACGATAACAATAACATTTCTCATTTTATTTTTTCAAATTTATAAAAGAGAATTTTGAAAAATTTTGTGGAATATTATCCTATTTCATATAAATTTTATGATAATAAAAATAGCAAGCGATGCATATTTACTTAACTCCTATAGGAGAATATTAAAAATAAATAATGTAAATAGGTTGATAACTAACTATATTTCTACTAAAATGATTTTCAAAATAAATATTAATTTTTTTGTTTGATCTAGAAATATAGAAGAAGAACGGAAGTCGATAAAATAAAATAAAAAACATAATATTACATTACATTTATCCTGGTTCTTGCCAAAAAACAACCTTAAAAAAATTTAAATGTCCAATCTTTAATATAGTTTATAATCATTTATTAAATAGTACAAAGGAATAATTAGATTGCCAGAATGAATAGATTATTTTTTTGAAAAAAATAAGTTTACAAAAATATCCAATTCCTTTATTCAGATCTGTATTCTATTCATAAATGAAAAAATGATTCATCAAATAATATTCCTTTTCAGATCGAATCGTTGGAAAAGGATCATTGGGAAAAACGGATTATATATTTATTTATATTGTACAATATATCCAAAATCTAATCTTTTTTTCCCCCAATATAACTCTTTTCTTAAATTTTTAATGTTATTCATTTAACTTAAGATTAATTCCAAATTTTATGTATAACACCCGAATTATCCTCTTTAAGATTTTTTTTCTCCAGTATCCTTCTAGGTATAGAACAAAGTTAAATCTTCCCTTCATAACTTGTTAATACATTACACTATCTATTTTATGAGCAATATATTTCTTTGATATCAATCACCTTTTAAATCAGCTAACACTTTAACTTTCATTGAAATAAAAGGGGTTTTAGCTTAAATTCAAGTAATTGTCAATCCCAATCTATCCCCTAACAGCAGATACTTTCAATCAATATGTATTAATGAAATATAATTTAAAATCTATCAAATGCTAAGAACAACCATAATTTGACACATGAATAAGATAACGTCACGAAGTTATCGTATACAAAATAGTTTTGATATCATGCAAAACTAATTTATTTTCATAGAAAAGACGCATATAAATTTTTATTATATTTAAAAAAATACATATTTACTATGGATGGAAAAATATATTCGATATCAAAAAAGATTTGCACCGAGTATAAAGGTATCTTAGACAGAGGAAATCAGTTATTTAACGATCCTACTATAGTCGAAAATTTTGTCGAAGAAAGGGATGATCCGAAAGAGAGATTACTAACAAATCCTAATAATCGCCTTAAAAGGACATTATCCATACGTTGGCGTGTAATTTTGAAAAAAATTGATGAAGAGATCAACAAGGTGAACTATAACCCTAAAACATTTTTGAACAGTTCACCGGGGAAGGCTCTCTCAAATTCTTTAAAAGGTTTGCCGAATGAAATGGGAGAGTTGCACAAAATATTCCAGAAAATTGGGATCGAATGTGAAAATTTTATGTATCAAAAGGAAAGCAATCTATCTAACCAGATGGTGCCCTCCAATTTTAATTCTTATAACGTGATCTCTAACCATGGATATCCTGAGGGTCAATCAATGACCGGAAATAATCAGGGTTGTCATTTGCCCTCTTCTAATGTTTATAATCAACAAATATGGCAAAGACAACCTGGTTATGTTCAAAATTTTAATCACATACCCAATTCATATTTGACCCATATCCCATCCGACTATAATAATCCAAATGAGGTATACAATAATCCGAACGAGGTAAGATCTATCACACCATTTCATTATCCTAACTTTCAAAATCATAGCAATATTCCTCCTTGTTATGCAAATATTAATAACATGCAAAATCCCATTTATAATTATCCGTTCATCCAAAATGGATCTTGTGATGTACCTGCAAACATTCAGAGACCTATAAATCAAAACGATCAACAAGTGGCTCAAACAAAACCCTTGAATGAAGATAATAGATTACCAAATTTCAATTATCCATCTTCGCCTCAACAAAGTTGTATAACTAACTATTCTTTAAACACAACTCAAGAGATTCACAACCCCGCTAATTACGTTGAGGTTATTACGGTGGACAAAATAAATTCCGACAATCTGAATGAGCGCTTACTAAAGATTCCCTTAAATAATTCTCCAAATATGGATATTCCTGATAAATCGCCACAAAATGCAATACAGGGGGGAGCCGAATCAGTAATTATCAATAATATTTTAATCCCGACCAATTTGGTAGAGGAATTTACTCGTACTTATTATTTGAATCCAAAAAGCTTGCCCAATAAAAATGTTGATAGCAACCCCCATATTGAACAATGTTCGAAAGATTCACAATATCAACCGAAAAATGATGGACACCAACAAACCAACTCGGTAATTGATTATGTACAAAATAAGTTGCCAAGCGAAGGGAACTTCGATTTTTGCAATCATTTAGCTATGAATGGATATGCTAGAGATGATTCAAATTTGAAAAATCTTCCACAATTTAAAGACTCGACATCTTCTATGCAAAATTTTAACTCCAATCTTTCACCACAAGGTCAAAATATGAACGTTTCCGAATTGATAAATTGTTTCTTTGAAAATCTAAGTTGCAATAATAGTGTAAAAATGAATACTGCGCTAAAGGATACAAATGATACTTCTAGCCAAATAGCCTACGGAGTAATGAATGTCATACCAAACATCATATAAAATAGACGCAATCACTCTACACCTTTCGAATTGACGCTTTCTCTCTTTTAAAAATGGGAAAATCTTTATGATTTTATTCTCAAAAACACATTATAAAAAGAAAAATTTTAAAATAATGGCCCATTTTGCCAATTTAATTTTATCCAGATTAAACAATGTTAAAAATAATTTCAATTTTACTAAAGGTTTTAATATTATTCTCTAGAAGTGTTATGTTAAAAAGGTTTTTCTTCTAAAACTCTTTAAATAATTATTTGTATCTAAAATAAATAAAACTATCTTACTTAACCCACCTAGAATTGAATTGACATGAGTCTGAGACTCTAAATAAAGAATCACAATGTTAAATTTTTCCTAAATTAATTATCTCTTATATTAGAGATCAGAGGTTATATAGAGCCCGGAAATTAAAACCTATAAAAAATTTAAAATAAGAGAACAATCTAAACAGAGAAAAGGAAAAAGGGAGAGGGGGGAGGGTATCCTCTTTGATAATCAACCATTACATGATATAATTGAAAATAATATTTTGTCATGGAGGGGGGGGGGGGGTTAGACTCAGCGTTATTGGTTTAGAAGAGTCTAAAGGTCTCTGATTGAAAGAGGACGGAAGATTATTTATAAAAATAAATCTTTCATATAATTTAAATTCTGAATTTAATTGGACTTCAGATATACATTTATATCCTATAAATAAAATTTAGCAATTTTCAATATCAAGATTTGATATATCCTCAGATCAGGAGTTATAACATTTTTAATGGTTAGAACCTTTGATAATTACAAATCGCTTTATTGATTTTAGTCATAATTAAATCCAAAAATGGAATAAAAGCAGATATTTTAGAGCCTCGATCAAGTTAAACCTTTATTTGTCTAAATGCAAGTCTAGGTTTGCTAATCTCAAAATCTTATAATTTCGCTCTCACCTCAACAATCACATAAATCTTGATAAATTCCTGGATATTATTATCTCGGTTTTCTAAGTTGTAGTATAATAATATTCGCGATTTTCATAACTTTAGCCAAATCCATTTTTTTGAAAAATATGGCATAAATTTTAATATAATAAATAATTTATTAAAACATTCCAATAAAAAAAATCGGCAATCTATTCTAATATTTACCCAAGGGCATACAAAATATGTTCTTCTAGATTCAAAAAATGCTGTAACAGCTTAATGTGTAGACTCTATCTTGTCGTGCAGGCTTTGAAATTTCTCTTTTCCTTTAGTACAAGATGTCTCGATAATTATATTAGCAATTTCTCTCTGTTAGGATATCTCAACATTTCATACACTCTAAAAATTTTCTCATAGTTATTAATAAAGGTAAGTTAAATAGAATATTTTTTTTGGTTGATAAAATTTTCTTATATCCATCAGTGTTTAAGATTTAAAAAATGTAAGAAAATAAACTTTAAATTTTCTTGAGAAAAATATTAATATATAAAAAATAAACAAAATTAATTTTAACTTTTTGTTAATATTTGGATTTTAATATAACCTATTTGAAATAGAATACTTTTCAATACATAATTCATGAAGCCCTTTTACAATTTTTTAAAAATTTGCTACATAAACATATTACAAATAACATGACTGCAAGAGGGGGGGGGATAATGATTGTTAAAATTTAGGGAGATAGAAAGTAAATCTGGATGTTTCCTATAAAATTTATTCATTTTGCTTAGTGTTCTTTAATAAAATTTGAATAAATGAAGGAATCGTTATAATCATGAAATAAGAATTAAATAATATAATCATAAATCGATATTTGGTGCTTAGGATTGGAAGAATATATCATATGCGATAGGTACATAATCAGAAGCAAGAGGAAGGGGGAAGGGCTTGGGGATGTTTATCTCTTTGAAAATTTACCAGTTTTGGTAAAAATTGGTTTAAGATAATAAAAAATTTCCCATAAATACCCCTTACCTCTTTCGATCAAATGTATAAAATAAATATGTTGCTATGAATAATAATTTAAGAGAAAAGTATAAATAAAATGATTTCCAATAAAATTTCAATCAAATAGATATTAAAAAATGTTTATTAACATTTCACGATATTTGAAATCGATCATATATTTTTTTGGAAAAAGTATACCATTTTTAAATTTTCAGCAAAACACACTTATGCTATGTTTGAATAGTGATATTTTTACACACAAGGAAACTAAATAAATTTTTGATATTTATTAATAATTTAAAAATTTTGTTAAGAAATCTAGCAGATCAGACGACATATTTAACAAATTATGTCATACAATTTTGGGCTTATAGTTTTTTAAAAAAATATCAATTGTTCAGGTTAATATGTCATTTTTGACAGCTTTCATTATAAATTGTTTTCAATTTGACATTCAACTAATATTTAACAGCTGTTATCTATTCAATATATTCTTATTCAAGTTAAGAGAATGATAGGAATAAGAAGTGATTTAAGATAAATATAATTATTTTTAAAATAAAATAGGTTATCATACACGATTATTAACCCAGAGATTTCAAATGGTATCCCGATATTCCTATAAGCTTCAAAATTCTCTTACCTTTAAATATAAACATATTGGTTAATTAAATTTTAGTTTAAATTAATTTATTTAATTTATTAGAATCGGTAACTAATAATATATTAATATCTAAACCTTCTGATATTGATTCAAAATACCATGAATCTTTACATTGGAGTATTGAAAGATATTTGGTTATGGCATTATATGGTATATTTCCTGCTTCTTATTTTATAAGTCATCCATGTATGGACTATCTATTGGCATCTTCAATTGTGTTGCATGGACATTGGTTATTTTAAATAAATTTTATACTTTACCCAATATACATAAATAAAGAAGTGATCATATTATATATGTGGGGATGACGCCCCCAGTGCATATACCATTTTTTTCTCAATTAAATTAAAATTTGGTTTAATTTCAAGCTAATATTTTAATTTGTACAATTAGAAAGTAAATACATTATCCCTATTCTTTTGTATTTTAAAAAATGTCTAACTAAATTTATAAATAATATAGTAAATTCACAAAAAAATTAGACAAGTTATTTATGATGTGCCTAATTACAAAAATACAGATATCAAATACAATTAATTTATAAAAAGGTAAGGTGTGTGGCCAGGAATTTTCTATTTGGAGAGCAGAGTTGGGCAGGTCCTCTGGAAAAAGAATCTAGATACAGATTCTTTATAAAAAAATGAATCTTAGATACAGATACTAGTATCTTTTTCAAAATATCAAAAAGATACAAGGTATCTTTTATTAAATTAGAGTATCTTAAATACTAGATACTTTTAAATTATCATTACCAATTAAATTAGAATAGTTTATAAAATACAGTTTTTATTATTTATTTGTGAAGAACATAGCATACACATATAAGAATGAATATTTGCAATAATTAATAAAATATTTATTGATGACTAGGTTTTATGTAAAAAGAAATTTAATAAAATCATTCGTATTCACAAAAAAAAATTATAATAACCAGAGATTTTAATATTAATTTTTGCCCATTAATAGTATAAACAGGGAAGGGAGAGTAGTATATTTAATGGTAGTTGAAAATGTGCAAATAAGAAAAAAAATTAAATCAAATGGTTAATTAGAATTTGCAGGTTATTTTCTGTTGTTTTAAATATAGATTATATTCGGAGTATATGGCTAAATGGCATCTCTAAAAAAAATATACTAGTTTTATTTTATTCATTATCTTTGATAAGTATTTATCATTACTTGTTTGTGATATTTATGTATTTTTTTAAATTAGATATATTTTCTAATTTGACTTATTAATTCTTGCATTTGTAATATCATATATATATATATAAATATCATTTAAACTCTTTTCAAATTTTTTTTATATATTTCTTGCAAAATCATTAATTATATATAAAAAATATAAAAATAATGTACAACATTATATTATTTAATTGTTAATTACATAGCAATTTTCTTTAATGCATTTTAAATTGATTAAATTTTGTAAATAAATACTGTAATGTAATTTTACTTATATCATAAATAAATAAAAGTAACTAATAAAGTTAAATTCTACCTTATTATAATTATTTTATTAAGAACCTTTTAAAATTATCTAATATTATATATCAATTATAGCTTAAATATTTCCTCTAATTAGAACTTTCTAAAATATTTAAATATAAAAATTAGGGAGGTGTCGATATTTTTTATTGGATCACATCGGGCCGATATTTTACCCATTTTAAAATATCGGTTATCGGTCAATATTATAAAATTTGATCCGAACAAAATTAAAATGTTATAAAATTAAAAAAATAGTTATATCTGAAATCATTTATTTTTATAAATAAAATCGAAATCCATTTTTATATATTTTTTTTTAATAATAATAATTAATTAATAAACATTCATATTGTTATTTTTTTGCGCATTCTGTTTATAAAAGTGTGCTATAATCTCTTCAGAATCTGTTTTTAGTGAAGCTGGTGATATTGACAGTTACTATTGCCGCAAGCTGACTGATAAATTGGAAATATTGGTATTTCTAAAAAGAAATCTCCGCTATATTAATGTTAAATATTATTTTAAATATTTATTTTAAATTTCATAATATAATTGTTTATTACTTAATATGTATATAGATTAATGTTATTACTTATTATATAAAAGTGATTTAACAATAAAAATATTTTATATACTTTTAGAATTGCAATCGAATTGAATATAAACTATAACTGATCATTATAATTTATTTAAATGACATAAGTTATGGTTAGTGATGTTAAAGTAACTAGTTACTTGTAACATTTTGGCTAAAAAATAACTGTAACTAGTTATATTTTTAAAATTGTAACTAGTAACTGTAATTAGTTATAATTTTTGAAATGTAACTGCCAAAAGTAACTAGTTACTTTTAAAGATATATTCAAATAATTAATTTTATTTTTAATATGTTATGATATTTTTTAAATTAAATTTATTTTTTAAATTAAATTTATTTTTTAAATTAAATTTATTAATTTAAAATTTTGTGAAAATGTCTGATTGTTATAATTTCCCGTTCAAATTGATTTTCTTTTCTTAAATTGTTACATTGCTGCTGGGCTTCATAATTTTGTAAGCAAATTCAAGTAATTTAATAAATTTTAATATTATATTTATTTACATGTAGCACAATATATTTTTTCCGTCAAGTAACAAGCATTGGAACTTCATATCATACGTAATAAAAAAAAATTTTAATTTAGTATAAGGAAAAACAAAGACAGATTATTTAAGAATTTAATATTAAATTATTAATCATTACTTACAAGAACCAAGTCTAACAAAAATATCATGTTATAGGTTTAATAATCTTTATGATAATGACAACATCATTGCTGCAATTCTTCACCCTTTATTTAAAATTGACTGGCCTTGGATTAGGCAAGAAAGGAATAAAGCAAAAAAGGAGGAAATTTTAAATTTAATAAATACCTTAATACCTCAAAGTGAATCCCAGACGAATGAATCATGCTCAAAACCAACATCACTTGATGTAGTTGGATTTTTTGACCTAAAGCGCCAAAATATTCTGGATAATGAACTTATAGAAAACTTTATCAAATCTAATAACAACACTTTTTCTTTATATAACGATTTTCCAAAGTTAAAATTACTCTTTATTAAATATAATGTTGTTCTAACATCAAGTGCTCCCGTAGAGCGCTTGTTCAGTCTAGGTAAGCTCATTTTTGGAGATAAACGAGCACGTCTCCTAGATAATAACTTTGAAATTAATTTGTTGTTAAAAGCAAATAAACATTTATTAGATTCTAATTTTTATGAAAAATAAATGTTTTTTTTCAATGCAAATATATATTTTTATATTCGATGTAAATATTCAATTTTGCGATATTTTTTTATATAAATAAATTGTATATTATTTTAAATAACTGATTATACTTAGTTTATCCTAATTTTTTTTATATTAAATAAATGCATTCAATAAATAAATAATGCGCATATGAATGATGTATAAAGTAAGTAACTAGTTACTTTTGAAAATAACTGTAACTAATGACTAGTTACTTTTGTAAAAATGTAACTAGTAACTGTAACTAATTATGTTTTTGCCAATGTAACTAGTAACTAGTTATGTTTCAAAAGTAACTTTTAACATCACTAGTTATGGTATGGTTAAATTATAGATGTTATACTAATAAAAATATTAAAAATTAAAACCATTGGTATCTTTACGGAATACAAAATTATATATGATATCGAATCGGTAATCGGCCGATATAAATCTAATATCGGAAATATCGGATCGGATCGACCTCTAAAAAGTGGTATCGGTATATATACAAAATGATTTTAATTTGATAATCAACCATCCATCTTCTATAAAAATTTTTAATAACAATTATCTAAGAGGGACTTATGTATAGGTATTATTATGTTAATAATTATAAAATAAAAATGTAAACTATACTTTAATATGTTTAACAAAGTTTGTAGAGGAGTTTGTTCAACCTTTAATAACTTTTTTACTTATGCAATTTTGACATTCGGCTTGTACCTTGTCCTTTTTCACATGAATTACTTTATAAAATTCTCCATCTAGAATTTTAAGATTCGGATTTGATTCAGGAGAACCTATCTCTATAATTTCATCTTATCTGTATCTTTTTAAAGAAAATGAAAAAGATACAAGATTCTTTTCAAAATAAAGGATCTTAGATACAGATACTAGTATCTTATTAAAAATGTCAATAAGATACTGAGTACAAGATACAAAAGGATCTTGTATCTTAGATACAAGTATTCGCGGTACTGCCCAACTCTGTTGGGGAGTGATAATTTCTTACATTAAATGATTTTTTTTGAGCATAAAATATTTATTAGAACTAATCATATTTGAAAATATGATAATTTACAACAAAAATAATAAAATATGTAATATAAAATATTAAGATCCAATATAATATGGTTAAAAAATATTATAGCTATATAAACTGTTATGTAACTCACAATAAAATATAATAAACATTTTATAAAGATCTAAAAAGTTTGTCAAAATATTGTAAATCTTCTTTCTGATTGAGCCTTATTTTAATATTTATTTTGTGCTGGGGATTAGATCTCGATGAGTAAAGCTAGTCTATTCAATTTAAGATGTTATGCTTTTGATATTTTTTGTTCTCTATGAAAAAAGGTCCTCTTATTTGTGCTTATACTAATTGGTATCATTGCCAAAATATACAAAAATTTTAATATATTTGGTAAATATTATTTAAAGTATGCAATACTTCCACTCTATTTCTTGGAAAATTATCTACTAAAATGAATCTCTTATACTATTTAAATTCTGAAATTAATTGGCCTTCAGTTTTTTTAAATTATTATCTGAGTTTGATGGCTCGCTGATTTCGCCATTGCCTAATAAATTAGCGACGACCAAGGCATGCTATTTAAAAGAATTTTTTAATAAATTTAATATATAATTAATGTATTAAATTTTTTTATAATTTATTTGGGTGCTCTTAGTTCTAACAATGTTAATATAGTTTAATTCATTTCTTAAATTATTTTCTCTTTCACTCCTATTTAAATTTATGTATTTTCTCATTCTCAGAAATAGACGAAGGAAATGCATTTTTACACAGTCACATAAGCAACACATTTTAGGAATATTCTATGATTATTAAAATATAAATTTGGAATGCAAGCATAATATAAAGTAAGAAATATAATAAATTAGAAATCAGATTTAGTAAAATGATATTTTATCAATATTTGTTGGACATAAAGAAGTACTTTTTGCATTGAGTATTACAGCTATCGAACAAAATTCTTCACCTGGGTGTACTCGTTGAGATATACAAAGAACCTTCCTAGATAAATTAGCAATCCTTAAAAGTTCCAATCGCCTTTTTTTCTTATAATTAGCTCATCCTCTTCTGGTATGTTATGTTGGCAATATGGCATTCTTGCTATCTATTGCTAATGATGTTATAATTGTGGCTTGGGGAGGGGATGTATACAAGCTATTTAGCTATATATTAACTGAATGCTTGCCCATTTGAATCTCACTCTGTGCATTTCTATCATGCTTAAAAGGTTTTAAATGTTTAATTAATAATTCAATGATGTCATAGAATTCGAATTTATGTATTCTGGAACAATTTTAAGATTTTGTAATATTGTTTAAATGAAAATTATAATATAAAATTTGAAGCCCGGGGATTGGAAACCTATGATCACGCTTTTTTGCATATTTTCTTTTAGGCAAATGATATCTGAGCAATCAGACTTATTGATTTGTATGTGTGTTTCTATTTCACTGCAAAATAAATCATAAATTTATTGTTGTTCCCTTTTGGGAGGAAAAAAATTCCACAGACTCCCTGAATGGATTTAATCATGTGTAAAGTTCGTTAATTATATCCATTCGTTATTCGATATCTTTTGGTTTTCAAAGTTGTAATAATAATATTCGCGATTCTCATAACTTCAGCCATTTTCATTTTTTTGAAAAATTTTTCATAAATTATAGTGTAATAGATAATAATACATTACATAATCGGCAGTCATTAAATCAAATATTGTATCAGCTTTAGATGAAATATGTGTTTCAGGGGATTCTGATATTTCTCTAAGAGCATACAAAAGGCATTTCTAGATCCAAAAAATGCTCTAACAGCTTGATGTCTTAGACTCCATCTTGTCTAGCAGGCTTGCGGTTTCTTTTTCCCTGTAGCACCAGAAATTATAGTGTAATAGATAATAATACATTACATAATCGGCAGTCATTAAATCTAATATTGTATCAGCTTCAGGTGAAATATGTGTTTCAGGGGATTATGATATTTCTCTAAGAGCATACAAAATAGGCATTTCTAGATCCAAAAAATGCTGTAACAGCTTTATGTCTTAGACTCCATCTTGTCTAGCAGGCTTGCAGTTCTTTTTCCCTGTAGCACCATAAATTATAGTGTAATAGATAATTATACATTACATAATCGGCAGTCATTAAATCTAATATTGTATGTGAAATATGTGTTTCAGGGGATTCTGATATTTCTCTAAGAGCATACAAAATAGGCATTTCTAGATCCAAAAAATGCTGTAACAGCTTGATGTCTTAGACTCCATCTTGTCTAGCAGGCTTGCAGTTTCTTTTTTCCAGAAATAATTATATTCAGCATATTCTGTCTATTTGGATATCTGTATATTTCATGCACTCTAGAAATTTTCTAATTATAGTTAATAGTAGAGATAAATTAAATAGAATTTTTTTGGTTGATTAAATTTTCTTATATTCATCAGTTTTTTTAAAAAATGTAAGAAAATAAATTCTTAATTTTCATGATATTAATATACAAGAAATAAATATTTGAAATAGAATATTATACCCTATTTGAAATAGAATACATAATTCACAATTTTTATATTTTTTTCATAAATTCTTTCTTAGGGGCGGGACTAAATTGCAATAATGTTAGGCAGTTAAACGCACCCTATATTCATATCTAATTAATGAATATACTAATTCATAATATATAAATAATATTATCATATATTCGTACATATATTTCCATTATATGAATATATATATATCTATGTATTATAATGTAATTATACATGAAATTCTACATTACTACAAAACGCAATTTACATTAGTATTGATAAATTACAAATCTATCTATTTTTATTTGAATATTTTACATATTAGCAAGATCAAAATATAAAAAAATTAAATACAAAACTACATATTTATTGGAAGGACCTATTTTATTTAAAAAAAACTTATATTTGAAAATAAATTTTGCGAACTTCATAAAATAATTAACATTAAAAAATCGGATCAAGCCGATATTTTCTAAAAATGCTAAATATCGACCCCTATCCGATATTTATCGGCATAGCCCTATTTCCACCATTTGTAAAATACCTACCCTATACATTTTAGACAATTTTATTAGATACTGCATGTATTCCCCTCATTCATGGCTAACACGAATTCGAGGCGAATATTACAAAATACGCTGGTCGCGAACTGTGAATAAGCGGCCCTGCATTTGCAGTTAGCACGAATACGTTGTGCTTTATTTATATACTTCGCGGCGAATTCGCGCTAACTGTGAATGCACGGTTAGGCCTCATTAATATAAACGCAATTTTATATAGCGGTACGGTATTTAACGCTGCGTTATTTACAAATCAAGCCAATAAATCGGTATAGTTTATATATACGGGACGAAACGATGAAAAGCTATGATTAAATTTGAAAAACAATTTCAAAAATTATTAACACTGCGCATATACTGCAAGTAATAAACAACTATTATATTACCTTAAAAATGTGGAAATATATTCCGTCGGAATCGGAATAATACAACTAGCAAACAGACGATAAAAAAAAAAATTTTTTTGTAAAAGATATTTTGCAACTCAAATTCTAGAACGCTTTGGGTTGGCCCTAGTCTTGGCACTCCTGTATTTTTTTATAATATATTTTATCTACAGAAAATAAGATTAGTTTTAATTATTGTATTGTTTTTTTTAACGGAATAATCAATTTGGATTGAAAGAAGGAAAGAGATAGAGGGAAAGAAAGAAAGCAAATAGGATATAATTATTTTATAGTTCTTTTATATAATTAATTATCTTCTATTTTATTCATATAAATATGTATATTATGCTCTAAGGGGAATGGAGGTTGTTATGAGCGATTACGTCGATAGATGGGACAGGTATAATAGATACAACTTTTTCGGGAAAATGGCCAACATGTCCGTTCTCTCCGTGTCCGCCACAACCCTAGGACTCTTGTTTTATTTCAACTACACTGACGTTGGTTTGATCAAGGCTATATCTCTCTTATGGCATTTATAATTTTTTTTTTATTGTATAGATATGATTTCAAAATTTATGATAAATTTAATTTGAAATGATACCTTTTACGAGATAAAATGCTAATATATTTTTCTCTTCGGAGAAAAAAAAATTAATAATAATATGCAAACGCTTGTTAACGCACAAAAATTAACCAAGTTGTTTCATTATTTTTAATTTAACTCCTTTTTTATTTATATAATCAAAACTGTATTACTTTTTAGTTCTTGTCCACACTTCATACAATTTCTGCTTTTAAAATTGCAAGCGTTTTAACCGCAGCGTTAATCGAGTGTGTATCAGGAACCTCGTAAACGTAATTTTTCTCTATTTATATACTTTTAAAATGGCTACTTTTATGATTTTAGAAAAATTGTATTATCAAGGATCGTTAATTTTCTTTCTTTTATAATATATATATTTTAATTCAAAATATTATTCGACGATTCGTATACATAATTGCTTTGACTTGTTCGTAATAAAGAAAAATATGGTAGGTTTATAAAATTATTAAACTGTACAATAAATAAATAAATTTATCTAGATAAATATAATAAATAAAATATGTACATAACTCGGGTAATAAGATTTGATGATGTAATTAAACTGTATACGTTGCGACCAACGTTTTTAAATATTATTGAAAATTAAACGACAATAAAGACGTCATATTGCTGCTCTTCTACTGACTTGCCCCGCAATCCAGATTTTTTAACTTCTTGACGGCTTTCCTAAAGCTTACGTTGGATTTATCCCATGGTGTCATGAAATTTACGAAGATCTTATCGGCTATTTGTTTACCCATCACCAAGAAGTACCTGTTATCCCCCTTCGATTTAACGCTCCGCGTTTCGTTGATTTGAGTCTGCTTGTTACACGCGCATTTTAGCATGCCTTGTTGCTTACTCAACCTTTTCCGCCTACTATTCATGTAAATCATTTTGGGATCGTCGAATTCAAGTTTTAAAAATGTCCCCACTTTGAAAATTCTTTTCACCTTATAATCCTTCATGAATAGTAAGACATTGTTTACATTGTCCTCTTCTGGTGTGCGCTTGACTCTTCTTTTACCAGCTTCTACTTGTTTGTTATATAAAATATACGAAAGTTGGTTATGAGTCGATGTTTGTCTTGCGCTATCCTCTCTGCGTTCAGTGAAAGTGAATTTTTTGTGATGATTTTTGATTTTGATAACTTGATAATATAATAAAAATAATATTTATTTCGTTATCAATAATAAAGAAATAAAATGAGAATATAAATAATTTAATAATAATTTTACCTACATCAGATCTACAAAAGTTCTCCAATATGGATTCATAAGTGATCGATCTCGGGCAGGGTTCACATATTTTTTCTATTGTATTTATTTATTTTATTTGATGATATATAAATATATAACTAATAAGAAGATATTTAAAATTTTATCATGTCGCTTTCAAAAGTATGGTTTTAAAGGATAATAATATTTTGACAGGTCTACTAAATAAACTTAGACTGGGGTATAGTGAGGCAAATTTGCAGCTTTATCTACATATCATTTTAAATCAATATATATCACGCCTTTCTTCCCTAGAAAATGAATACAATAATATGTCATAAATAAGGAAAAATATTTATTTTTTTAAAGTATTTTTTAAAAATGTAACGCAGATATAAAAAAAAATCCCTTCAATTAAATTTATGAGAGAAAAAGGCACCCAATAGTACTTTTTTTTCTTAGCAAAATCTTGGCTATGTCTGGGGACTGAGGGGATTTACCCCTCATTCATACCTAGCGCGAATTATACAAAATACGCTTTCGCGCTAACTGTGAATGCAGAGTATAGCTCTAAAGGTCTATCAGGGGGACGGGCGAGTCCCCAAAAAATATTCAATTTATATTTCCCAATTGTCCTTTTCCTCCGATTTAATCGCGTAAAAATAAATATAAAAAACTAAATCCTGATATATTTTTTTGTTATCCTTTCTAAATTTATTAACTATTTTATTTACCTAGTGTAATAAAGTATATAAAGAAAAATTAATGATGGGGTTGGTTATATTGAGAGTTATTTTCTAATATTTTATTTAAAAAAATTACCAATCTATAAATTTCCTATACTATAATATTAGTCGGATTTGGTTATTATCATTGCTGTTAAACGCTACTGTAGCACGCTATCAGCTACTTTAAAACTTTGAGCTACATTTTTTTAAATAATATTTTTCACATATATATTTCCACAAATAAAAAATATTGGAATAAAAAATATGACTATAATTTCAAATATATATAATTGATTTATTTTTTATTGCATTTCAATAATAATAACATCATCCTCAAGTCTAAATCGAAGATCAGAGAGTATTTGCTTTGCCGTACTAAATAATCTTCCAACAATAGCACTTGAGGGCAATGCAGCATTAAATTAAATATACATATTTTTTTATACAAGAAAAATCATCAAAAATATTCATTTGAGTATTTTTACATTTAAAAAATGGAGCTAGAAGATTTTCAATAGTATTATTGTTTATTTCAAAAAGAATCAGCTATAGTTGGTGGTGTTTTTGATCTGGTTAGGGTATTTTGATTTGTATAGTATTATTTAAGGTTTAAGTTACCCATTGGATTCACATACTAATATATGGCCGACTCAACTTGAAACTAGGGTGATCAATAGCAGATATGTTTAACATCCAGATAATAATTTATAAAAAATTATCAATAAATGGATGTGTCTGATGAGAAAATGAGATGTTTATATTAATTAATTATTGTAATTTTTAATTTATAATATAATTCTTAAATAATAACCATGTCTGGACTGGGCCAGAAAATCAACTTTCACATAAACTAATCTAGCTCAAAAACTATTGTAGATACAGCTTTGAATCAAATTTTAAAGAGGCGGCCAGGCTTTTGGGTTTAATCCCGCATATTGCAGACATCTAATCTAAGAGGAATTTATAACTGAAGATATCACATCAAAATAATTAACTCTTTTTATTAAATGTGATATCAATGAGTATTGAAGGGTTAAAAATTATACTAATCCTGAGGGGAGGGGTTGCTCGTTCGATTTCCTCTATCATCCAATTAGATTTTTATTTTAAATGAAAAAAAACCAATCAATATTCCCGAGTCTAAATAAATCTTCAGTATGCGCATCTTTATTTTTAATTATGCAATCTAGCTTCTCTAACCCGAAAAGGAAACAAATCCTTTGCTCAAATTAGGCAAGCGTTTACCTCAACAATTCAATGAATAATAATAAAAAAAATTAGAAATCAAAAAATGCTGCTTAAAATTAACGCAAAATTTAACCATAATGGGTAATTAATTCCATGACATATCGACTTAAATAACACGATTTTTAAAAGACCCTTTTAAAAATGAATGAAACTCAACATATTGGTTATATAGTGTTTATATTTTATATAACTCAAAATTTTAAAACTAGCTCAAACATATCCTGAGTTATAGTCTTCAAAGATTAATGCCTTTTCTTCTTTTATGAATCTCTAATTACTCAAAATATTTTTGGTTCAAAATCACAAATTATACATCATTTTATAACCCTCATAATTTAAGAAAATGCAAAAATTATTTTCAAAATATCTTTAGTGTCGAATTCCCGGTAAAACAAAAAAAGATAATTTTGAGAAGTGAAAAAGGTGAAACGATGAAACTCACCAATGTTTATTACAAATATATTTAAACGCTTAAGTAAAAAATATAGAGAAAATATGAATTTAAATTTTATATAGTTTTTTATAATTCATAGATAAGAAAATCAATTATAGAGGGCGTTTGAAGCGATGAGACTCATCGAATATGTTTATTACCAGTATATTTAAAAATTTAAGTAAAAATATTAATTGAAATAATAAGAATTTAAATTTTATTTAGTTTTTATAATTTTATGAATAAAAAAATTTATAAAAAATATTCATTTTTATTATAAATAACCGTTAATATTTTTATAAAACTACTAAATATATATATATACTAGAAATTTTTTAAAGAATTACATTTTTTAATAAAAATATAATTATTTTTATCGATAGCGCCCTCTATAATTAATTTTTTTATTTTTTAAGTTACAAAAGCTAAATAAAATTTAAATTCTTATTTTCACCATCAATATTTTTACTTAAATATTTAAATGTATAGACAATAAACAAATTGCTGAGTTTCATGGATTCAAATATGGCCCTTCTTAAAATACTTTTTTTATCGGAAATACAACAACACTGAAGTTATTTTTAAAATAATTTTGGTATTTTCTTAACCCTGGAATATACAAAAAATATTAAAATGAGTATTTGGCAAATAAAATTTGTATATTTAGTGGTTGAAAATAATTATTATTTTCCCATAAAAAAATTATTTTATTCTCATTATTTTTAGAATTAGATAACTATGCTCATAAAAATTTTGAATGATAGGTCAAACCATAAGTATTTTTTTTAGAAACCTGCATAGGTCATTATATTCATTTTTAATTTATATAGCTAATAATGACGATTTAAAATATTTGGTTTTATATACGGCCCGGCCTGAGTGTTTTTTTAGACCCGGCTCGGGTATATTTAAAAAATAAAAATACGGTTCGGACCGGGCCTGCAGATCCATAATTTTTTTCACTTTGAGATCCTCTATACGGTTATAATATTCTAGGGAAAACCCATCGAAATAAAGGAAAAATACTTCCGAATCTATTCGCACTATTTGCAAGTGATAACAATCTACGGACACCTCAATAATGGCATCTGTCGGATACATCTCGCATCATGCTACTATGAATGCGATTTTTATAATTAAGTTTCATTTTAAATGGACATATGTGTATTCAATGATGTTTTATTATTATTCTACAATATAAATTTTGCCTAAAGTTCAATTGGGTTATTAAATTATTCAAAATTTTAAATCTTCTTGATTTTTGCGATAAATTGGTATAATAAAGTAACTCATTCATAAGGTTAGTAGTGCAGGATTAAGGAGAATCTTAAGGACTATAAAATGTTATATAATTTGTGACTTTGAATTTTGGGATCATTAAAACCAAAACAGGGTCATTATTGAACTTTGAAGCCTATACGGTTTTATTTGAGATAGAGCATTATAATTTTGATTTTTATAAACAATCTAACCTTCATACTAAATTGTTTCATCCATTTTTAAAATCGTCATCCCAAACACTGGGTAAATTGCCATGGAATAACTCTAATGGGTCCAGAAGTTGATAAATTATTTCATTTATTTATTATTTGTAATTTACCTGCATCTTAATTATAACAAATCAAGATATAAAATTAATTGTGTAACAAGAAAACTTAGTCAAATTTAAGAGCTCTTCGAGAAATTTTAAATCAAATTATATTTTGGAGACTATAAGCTAGTCATATCTTGTATAACGTCGTTAATATTGTTATCGTAGTAAATTGATTATCAAAATAAGGCTATTGTAGAAAATAGATAATAATATCGAAATCTTTAACAATAAAATGTAATTGAACAATATTAAATTTTATGTATTTATCTATTTTTAAAAAAAAAATTTCAAGTGACTCTTGATTTTATTATGATAACGTGAATGTTGTAGTTTAAAATTGAATTTGAAAAAAAAATAAAAATTATATTCAAGTAGTGATTTATCATTACACTCATTTATTTAAAAAAAAAATATATAAATTAATTTGATCATATTTGTTTTCAAGAAGAGCTAGGTAAATATATAGGTATATTTACTGTTATTCTGATATGGCTCGAAACATGAATGTTACATTTTTAATACAATTAGTTTGGTGTTATAATTGATATGCATTTCACAGAGTTGTTAGAGGATATACGATCCTCTATTCTCGGATGCTAATTTTAGCCAAGTTTCGGGATCCTTTATTCTTAAAAATGAGAATCCTGAAAGAGATTCAATTAATATTGATCGATCCTTTAAGGCTGTCCTAAAAACATGAATTCTAAAATTTTTCAAACCTTTATCAAAAAAAAACACGAAATAAACCTTTTTTTAATAGAATAATAAAAATATGGCCAAATTATATTTGTAAAATTTTCAAAACGCTATCATTAGGTTTTCCTCAAAATATCAAAACTTTTGAAAATTAAATAGATTATAAAAAAAATTTTTTAATTAAATTGTCACCAATTAAATTGATATCCTATTATTTAATTTTTTTTTTGAAAATAGAATCTATGCTACCAATGTTTTGTCATCTTTGCCAATAAAAAAAGCCGACGCGATTATGCGAGGATTCACGTGCGTCCTTTTCAGGACGCGTAGACCAACGTGCTAAATGAATGAATCTATACCTCATAATTTCGGGTCAATCGGAATATTAAAATTTTAATTTCTAACATAGTTTTTTGTTTTTTTAATATCCATTTGCAATCTAATCAAAACAAATCCACATCATGAACGAGCCAACGAAATAAAAAAAATTTTGACAAAAAAATAAAATGTGATAGTGTTAGATAGTTTTGTTAAAATGGTGCGATTAAGATGAAACCCAAAACAATAATTACGTAAGTCTGAAAATTTTTTCTTACAGATGGCAGAAAGGTTTGGACGTCTATTTATTGGATAAAATCTTAATCGGACCGATTTTACCAAGTCTGGTTTTTTAACAACACTAGTGTTAGGACTTTCTTTATATTTAAAATATAAATGCAAAAAAAAAATCATATTGAAAATTTTTTTTTAGTTTTATCCCAATGACATATATAATACCTAGACACGATTCATTCATTAGAATGCATTTTTAAGCGTCGTTAAAAGCAAATCAGCTGGACCCGCCATTTTGGTAATACATATAGTAATCATTCTCATGTTAAAAACTACTATTAAATTGATAACTTGCTTCCTTATTATCTCGATGAGCCGGTAATTCTTTAATAAAGTTTGCATCAGATATAGGAATAAATTAGGCTCTCGTTTAAAATTTTAATAATGATTAGTGTAACCAAGATGGCGTCTCTAGCTGATTTGCATTGATGTACACTTTTAATGAATGAATCGTCAGTCTAGGTATCATGTATGTCATTGTTTTATCCCTAAATAAAATGTAAATTAAAGGTTTATTTGTATGAAAGGATACAAGTTGGAGAAGCCGATCATATTTTTTTTCTCATTATATTTAAATAAACACATAAATTTAAACAAAAAAAAAATTTTTTAATTTTTGATCATGTAAGAAAATTTGTTCAGCATTTTAATAATTTTAGGTTTTTTTTAAGAAAATTGAATATAAAAATTGTTAACATCAATTATGTATGAGGTATATTAAATAAAATTTATAAGAATTTAAGTTAATATAATATTCTTTAAAAGATAGGTAGTGTGATATTCATTAAAGAACATCATTTAATGCTTAATTTGTGGGAAAAAGTGTTAATTTTTCAATTTTTTTATCAATTATAAGCCCATTCGAGATCTGTAAGGTCAAATATTAAATTGATGACCTTTATTATCTCCATGTCCATGGTTATATAAAATAGTTCACTCACACAAATTATTTTTATTTGATGTATTTTACTGTTATAAATAATTAAACTTCAAAAGATATTTCTCATATACCACTTATCTTAAATTATATATCAAATAAGGCTTTTTGATGTTTATTCTTATTTTTATATATATTATGTTTACAAAAACTTGTAATATCTTTGAAGCCCATCTCATTTAGATAACGACCCCATCGTTATCATGTTAATAAAAATGAATGCTGGTAAAGAGTTTAAAATGCTTTATTTGGTAATAAATAGATCCATTTGTTTAAAATTAATTATTTCGGGATTTAATTTATTTTTTTGGAAACTTTTAATATATATTTTTGAATCCTCTATAATACTTAACAAATAATTTCTTAAAAATATTTAAAATTAAAACGTTATTTTGTGTATATCTGACTGACTGGGCCCCTAATTCATAATAATTGTATAAAGTTTAAAAAATAATTGTAGTAAGTTATTCAATTAATGTTTAAATTTATAAAAAAAAATGTTATGACCTAAAATCTGAATTTTTAAAAAATTTAAAGATATAAATAATTTTAAAAAAATTATGAAACTCACCAACTGTGTGATGTTTTTCCATTTGATTTTGACGACTATTAAAGTGTTGGGATGAGTTGGAAACATTTATAACTTGATTATTTGTAGCAGCCTTAACGGTCTGAGAAGCGATACAAAGATCATTATCAGGTGGAAAAGTTTCGCATTCAAGAATTTTGGGCCATGGAAATCCGTATAATTTTATCCTGGATTCGCAGCCTCCCTTTACAGCTCTGCATAGAGATCGGCATGGATATATAGGTCTATCTAGACATACGGGAGAATAGAGAGAGCATAGGAATATTCTAGCATCCGGATGACAGCTTACGCTCAATAGAGGAACCCAAGAGCTGGCTTGTTTTACTACCTCGTTCAAGGAATCGTGATTTAATAGATTTGGCAAACGCATTTTGCCGTATCTATCGCCGTTATAAAATATAAAATCATTTTGTTTAAAATGTTTAAATATAATGCTGATGGAAGCCTCAAGTTATGTGTTGGATATAGCATAAAGGTCGGTATTAATACCCATGCTTGCACAAAATTTAAAAGTAAATATCTTTTTAGAATATGGCATCGGAATAACGATAAATTAAGGTATATGATAATTAATTATCTTATTTAATGTACATGATCAACTAACTCACTATATAAAATAATGAATGAAATATTTGGTTTAAAAAATAATTAAACCCTATTCCTTGGCACAAAGTTAGGCTTCTTGGAATGTCAACACACGTTGGAACCGAATTATGATGAATTATCATGGAAGCACTGGGAATCACCCTAGAATATCCACGTCTCATATGAAAGCCTATTTCTGCATCGGTAATTGGAATATTTGCAAATTGGGGTCGATTGACGGAATATGGTGAATCGCTTTTATAATTGTTCATTTGATGAGTATCGTCATCGGGTGATGAAAATCGAATCATTTTATTAAATTCCGTGTATGTAGGGGGGATGAATCCTAGACCTTTTTGGTCATCCGTATCAATTTTTCGCCCTCTGTGTTGTTTGTGACTATTATTCCTATTCTGTCTAGAATTTATCGATTTTTTAAAACCTCGGGAACGTACCGAGAAATTTTCGTGATACATGGTATTGTTATTAAAAGGCCCCGGCATCCCTGGGTCTCTTTTGATCCTCGAATGGCTCATGTATCTTCGAAAATCTCGAGATATTTCGAGTGGGTGAATCGTGGTCACGATTAAAAAATATGTGTTTATTATAAATAACGCTGCTATCTTCGAGTACGATTTTTTAGGAGGTAATTTAAGTTTGAAAAAAATTTTGTCCATTTCAATTCCCGTACAAAGTCTGAACAAACTTCTTGAACACTATAAAAGAAACTCAAAATTATTTCAGAGGTAAATGGACTTCTAAATTTATGCCGTTATTTTGTTGAATTATTTTAATATTATTTATGTAACTGCTTAAGAATGATAAAATCAATATTTTTACACGTTTTATCGATCTATTTAAAGATTATTATGGATTCTCCTATTTTTTCCTTTTTCATGAAATATTAATAATTTAATTTTTAGTTATTTTTTAAAAAAAATTGTAAAAAAAATGCCTCTTTTTGGGGGGATTTTAAGCCTTTTAATAGATTAAGAATATAAATATAAAAAAATAATAAAGAAATCTTGGTAGGTCTGGGGTATTATATATAAAAAAAAATTAAATTTGAATCATTAAAAAAATTTATATAACTTATTTCTCCTATTTTTTAACTTATAATTTTTACGATATAGTTTGGTTTTAAATTTTAAAAATATATTCAAATCTAATTATTATTTTTTTCTTGAATAATAAATTATATAAAATATATTATAAATAATTTTATAGAGTAAAAATTTAATTCATTATGAATAAATACATCGTATCCATCTCCTTATAACAATATAAAAATAATTGTCCTCACTCTTAAAATAAAAATAAATGACATTTTATACGTTCATTTTTTTTATGATACTTATTATTATTATAAAATATATTAGATTTAATTTTGTAATTAAACTAAAGTAAACTAAATATAGTAGTAAAGTTGACCACAGTCAGTCTCGATTACATTATATTATTCATTATATTTTCCTTTCTTTCATTCTTTCTTTCTTTCTTAGTTAATTAATAATATTAATTAATTTTTGTTAAATTTAACAATTTATTTATAAAATTAATTATTTAGTTTATAAAAATATAAACATTTTTTTTTAAATTGATCAAAAATCCATTTTTTAAAAAAAAATAATAATATAATATTTAATTTTTTTTTATCCTAAGATTTGTGTGAAAAAAATAAGAGATATATTACAAAAGATACACAAAATCTGGATTAGTTAACTCATTTTCTTTAAATAATACACAATATTGTTTTAAAAAAAATCAGGAGAAAAACTAATCGTATTTTCACATATGTTTTTTACATCTTTATCTATTAAAAATAAATGAAAATTTGAAAATTGGATAATGATACCGTTTATATAGGTATGTTGTACGGTATATAATGGTATAAAATAGAAATCTGCAAAGTTAGGCCCGGCCCGAAGTTCGGGCCGAGCTCGGGCCTAATTATATTTAAAATAATCGGGTTCGGGCCGGGTCGGGTCGGACTTTGGAAATTTTTTAAATATATCTAAATTTATCAATTTTATATTGAATGTTTTATGTAAAATAAAAATTTTTGATTTCATTTATTGAAACTAAACGCCATATAACATATGTCTTTTATTTTGAGTAATTATAAAAATTAATTTCCATATTTAAATAAATTCGGGCCAGGCCGGTTAATTTTTTTAAAAAATTTTCGGGTTCGGGCCGGGCTGGCAAAACTTTTTTAAAAAAAATTTTGGGTTCGGGCCGGCCCGGCAAAACCATTTTAAAAAAAATTTCGGGCCTGGCCGGGCTTGTAAAATTAGGCCCGATGCAGATCACTAGTATGAAATAATACCTTCTTTTGCTTATCTTCTAAATTATCTAAATAAATATATTTTAGTCTCTCTTTCTATCCATTACTAATTGGCCTATCCTGAATAAAAGATATATATCTTTTTATTAGATCCAAATTGCGAAACTTGGAAAGGAACGGGAAAGCAATAATGCTTTTTTCTCGGGTAATAGATTTCAATTGATATCGATTCAAGTAAAAAATATTTTGCATTCATTCAAATAAATGCTGTGAGGCTTTATTTTGGTAACGGCATTATTTTTTTTCTAAACTGAAGTAACGACGTTACCTTTTTAAAAATAAACTCCATTATTTTTTTCAAAATTAATAATTACAACACTAATTTTTAATTATTCGATAACGAATAATTTATTTTCCATCTGATCTCTAACATCTTTCACAATTCGATGCGCTTCCTTTAATTTAATCATATTGACTTTAATATTTTAAAATCTAGATATTAAGCAATAAAAACGATTTCTTGCTAAAGCCACTTTCCACTTGTTATTATTTCATTTTATATGTTTTACCCGATAAATTAAAGTAGAGCATGTCCGATATGTTTTCCCAGAGGTGTTAATGTAGATCATATCTGATAGGTTTTCATTGTATCGCTTTTCAATTTTTTTTTCTTATTGTAGTTCTCTCTTATAATGAAAATTTTAAAAAAATATTTAATTTTACATATGAAAATAGTAAAATATATTTTTTTAAATTTTATCATTATAGTTAAATATAAATTGTTATTTTGATAAGTGAAATTAATTATCCAAGTTATTAATAATTTTATTATAGACCTATTATTATACAATGATATTGCTAAACATCGACCTAATCTGTATATAGCTTATAATGATAGACATCCAAAAAACTTTCTGCTATCCTTTTAAATGTAATTTAAGAGGGTCAAGCCAGAAAAATATTGCCTAAGATTTTCGCATCTAAACCTTTGTGCTTTTCTGGATAAAATACTGAGTTGGCCGTTTTTAAAAAACGACTCTAATGGAACGATTTTGGGTCACTATGGCTACTAATCACCATTAATTTCTTCCTTTTTAAAAAACATGCACTAAAATTTGATTATTTATCAAAATTAGGAATTAATAAATTTTCAAACCAGAATAAGGAAAAGGGGTATTAAAAATTTTACAATCAATCTTGGATATTCGGGAGATCTATATAAAAACACATAAAGATCTTCGCAATTGGGATACGACCATCTATTAAGTGAAACTAATATTCAGGAAACTCATATTTATGCCAAACAATATACTATAAAATGCATTCATTGTAAATGAGTATGTTTTTAATTGAATTTATGTTCTATAAAATAACTCTTTTACATTCACAATAATTTTATAGTTGGTATTGGAGCATTAATAATTTAAGTTATTCTTTTTAAAATTTACGAAGAGTGCCATTATAATTAAAAAGGTCTAATTAATAATGGAAAAATATCGCCGACGTAGGCGACAAAAATTTTTCTAGGGTGGGGGGGGGGGTATATATAGGTTTTTGTGGTGAGTTTTTATCCAGTAAAAACCCTATCATATAGGCGTGGGGTTCGAAATCAAAGAATAGATCGGATGAATAATTAAAAATGGAGAGTTTAATAAAATAAAGGTCAGGTTGTCGAGAAGGAAAGAATGTGATTCAAATATTAAATTAATTCACAAGGAAAAGATGTAAAAATTGAAGTATTTTGAAAAAAATATACAAATTAATTGAAATTTAAAGAAATAAGTAGTGAGAATTAAAGTATTGAAAGGCAAAAAAAATGGATAAATAAGAAAAGAAATAAGTTGAAAAAGTATGAGAAAGATATATATATAAGTTGGAGGGAAAATGAATATTAGGAGTAAGGAGAAGGATTAATGTTGGAGGGGTGGAGGATTTAGAAAAGAGTCATATTAGGTTTGTGCAGAAGTTAATAAAAAAACAATATGTAGTATTTGGGAGAGAGTATAATATTAAATAAATACATTTATTTTTTGGAATAAGAAATTTGATTTCCTATTTTTCGAATAATAAGTAAAGGAAAAATTTTGTTCCCATTCATGAAGATGCCAATAGTGACAAGGTAAAACAACCATTTTTATATTATCCGTGTAGCTTTCCTTGGAGTATAAATATATAATTTTTTTTATTGCTGTGGGTGCAGTAATGTATTAGATACATATATTTGTGGACATTAACACTATAATAAGCATTGACATGGAAACTCTGACCAGCGAATGTTCACCTCTGGTAATAAAGGAGGATATCAACTAGAGTACTGCACGGAATGTCCGTAGCCCGACCAAAATATTTTTCGTGTTCGGGCTCTGGTCGGGTTGTAAGAGCTATCCGACCCCACCCGAAAAAAATATTTATATAAATATCCTAAATAATCATTATAATACATAATGTCAATTATAAAATCATATATTTTATTTATCACATTTTATCCTTAAAATGTCAAATCAGAATAACATGTCATTATCAATTATTATTTTATAATTTACTTAACAACCATATACCAAATTATTTTATGTGATTATATTTTCGTAAATTGCATTGTATAGTTAGCGATATTATTATATACTTTACTTTCATCATATTCTATCAAGTTAAATAAAATATATTTTACTAATATCTATTTAATTAAATAGCCTCATATTTTCATATTAAATAAATTATTTCAATGGATGAAAAATTAAAAAATTGGTGAAAAGATTAAGAGCAATGAATATGAAGTAAGATAAAATGTCAATGGCAAATCTGAGGTCTGGAAAAGTTTGCATTTATATATGATGAAATCCAAGAAAAACTTAATTATGTAAGTTGCAATTTTTGCAAATATATGCTAATAATTCTATAACAACATACATAAAATATATGATATTATTAAATTATTTTAGGCATTAATTAACTAAAAAGGTAATAAATGCATATTTATAATAGGGAGTAAAAAGACTATATTAACAATTGATAGCCTTTTTGGTACTGATTCCAAAAAACTCAAAATTTATGCCAAATTAAGAAAAAAGAGTGTACAAAGCACCATGTTTGTGGATGTAATTTGAGATCATGCAATTCATGGGGAAGGCTTTGTTGATTGTTGCCAATATTCCAAAATTGAATCAATATATGGAAATATTGATGTTAAAAGCATCATTCCATATCCCACGACAATTTCTAGAAATTTAATAGATACTGCTGATCGGTGGCGTCACTAGGGGAGTGCACGCAGTGGCTTGAGCCCCC